CTAAAAGTGTGGTGCTCGAAGCGAATTATGGATCATGGCCCAAAAGTTCTATTCTATTCTCCTTTTGGAATGTGTTAATGTATACGAACTTTGCCCTATTCCTTTTCTAGGGTCAGAGGCCTATATGTATATATCTCAGTCAACCAATAGGTTGTACGCCAATGCAGAATCTCTCGAATCTCAACTCAGAATGAGATGTCGAAAAAGTGTTAGTTTGAAAATATCTGCTATCAGCTGAATGTCCCTTCCGATAAATCAGATTGAAGCATATGAATTTGTTCTCAATCATGGGTTGGTACAAGCATTACAAGCAAAGCCTCGTTGTAAAACATAATTCAAGAGCCGCAAAGAAGATAATCGGCGAACCTGGGATTATGGTACAAGGAGAATGTTACCATCGCAGTATGTTCCAGTACCGGTAGTATGAAAAGTACTTGTCCAACTAGAGAGCATTCTGCTATTCATTTCAAGAAAGTAGCGCGCGAATGTTGCAAAGTCGTTTCACTTGCAATAATTTACGTGCGAACTTCAACCTGATTTCTGGATTGAATCGTGAATAAAAATGAATTCATTGTCATTCCATATCGATTAATCCAAGAAAGTACAATCGAGGACGAATCTTAGAGGGTCACTGGGTTTTGGGATTGATAGCTCAAAATTCAAATGATTTGAGATTGATTGCTACCAATCATCCACCAACATGTTGAACGAGGGGCAATAATCCATACGGACATGTAGAATATTCTGGGAGGGTTATGCGAAACTTACTGAGTGTGGGTAGCATCATCGGACTGTTAATGACAGGCTACATTCGTAGCCTCTGATGAAACTCACACTCGAACAACAGAGTGCCGCGAAAAAGTTCCTAAATGGTCAGCATGTTCCTGAAAATGAATTCGCTGACCGAATTTGTGAATTTTTATGGAGACGGCCTACGAAGAAACGCCATCTAAATTGAGTTGTATGGTAATAATTGTTCTGATTATAGGTTCCATTTATATTTTAAGAAAGATATTCATCTGTAGTTAGTTTGGTTCTTTAGTATAGATATCAGTGTCATTCTACACATTTTAAGTATTTACAATTCTTATATACTTATGGGGCTCTGTTTCCTCAAGTGAACAACATTTTTGTTCACTGTTACCATGACAACAGTCACCATAGCAATAACAATTCTTCAATAACTGATTTCATTGCCATAAAGGATCCTGTCAAAATCATAGGTCATGTGTTGAATCACCATTCAAGTTGTTACAAGTTGATTTGCGGAAATTTGCAGTGTAACAATAAATTTTCTGAGGATATACACTACTATAAGAGGAATGTCCTCTGAAATTTGGATCGAATTCGGATAATTACTATAGTGTCAGAGATACTTTAAAACTGACAACATGTATCTGTTTTATTTATAAGTTTTTACCAATGATTGAAGTCATTTCGTGTATAAAAATACAAGTTCCAGTCCAATTTTACTTTAAAGGCATCAAAATTTCTGGCTTGATATTTTGAATTTCAATCAATAATTCAAGCTTGCGGTTTTTGTTTCCTCGTTTTCCAATCCATCTTGCATTTGTTTATTTGATCTCTCCAAATAGTCAAATAAACCCAGCAGTTAATATGATCTAAAATATACAAAAGAGATTTTATATTCGACTGCAAAAATAAATTAGATGCGATAAACTCCGAACGTGAATGTAGCTTCCACCATATAGGCTGATCAGTTTGGCGAAACAATAGGGGGAAATTCCCTCCCGATAATAATATATGGAACAATAGGTTTTCATCTAGTTGACTGCTGATCCTCCCTGGCATTCTATATATCGTGTGTGGGTGGGCCAAATTCTATGATATTTGGGATTCATATATACGCTAAGAGAGATAAAGAGAACGAATGTGGAAATATCAGAATATGGTTGCTAAAATTCTTGAATTTTTGATTTGTACAGAGCCGAGTAGAGAATCAAGGGGTTATTCACAAAATATAATGTGAAGCGAACTATTTAATGATGTAAAATAATTTTGAAATATAACATTAACGGTATTTTGGACAACTCTGACGTCTCTGACCAAACAAAATAACTCTGATAATATGATTGAGAGAAAAAGATGTAAAACTGCATATTAGCATATGTAGATGTATCAGTTGGGTATAATTTGAACATCCACAAAATATATCAAAATTCTAAAAATCGAGAGGGAAATGTGACATGATATTTCCGATAAATTCGTTTTCTGGTTCGAACCTCTTTATTGGTTTCCAATGGAGGTGAAACCTAGAACGGTGTGATTCATTACATTCATCTCGACAGTTTATAGTATGTTTGAAGTCATATAATATTTCCTTTATATTTACTTGTACCTATCTCAGAACAATCGGCAACCCGGGAAAATCCCACGAATATAAATATGTAGCCACAGTACTGGCCTAGGTACTGGCTAAGCGAATGTACCCCAAAATGTTATAGATATTTGAATACCCCACGAATTTGTTAAATTTGTTTCACAGCATCATATATCGTGTTGAAAAAACTCACAGGGTGCCTGCATATTAATGTAGACCATTTCGTTTATATGATAAAAAGATCATTGGACACTTTGCCGAAAGTGATCATTATGCCGAAACACGCCAGTGGACAAGTTGCCGAATGTGGTCACGACGCCGAAACAGCTATTTGGACATTTCGCCGAAAGTGGTAAAACGCAGAAATAGCTATTTGGATGGATCGCCGAAAATGGTCTTCATGCAGAAACTGCTGTATATCGAATCATCTCGACAGTTCAGAGTTGGATCGATTCGAAAATTGAGACATATTCACTTGATATTCCTGAAAATAAAACAGCTGGACATCTCGGATATCCATGAGACATCCAATTTGTGTACACTTGATGACGTATGAACATCCATAGTATGTCGTTTCCAACTTTTCAGCTACGGGTATCCGCCATGGACATCTATATGGTATCCGTCATGGACATCCATATGGAATCTATCATGGACATCCATATTGTGATGATATTCCCCTCAAAGGGACTGTAGAACATCACCAGTAAGGCAGGAGTACAATGATCACCCTGTAACACGCGTCCCGGATTATTCTCGAATATCCCAATGATTCTAACATGTACCAGCATATTTCCGAACAACCAATATGTGTCACGGCGACACATAACCTAACAAAAGATTCTGGAATCATCTCGGAATAATTGATGGAACAATAATTAGAGAGAGATATTGTTCTGAGAAGCTTCTATAACAAAAGAAGGGTACGGAAGATCATTCGAAAACGTTCGACTAGCAAAGTCTGCCAAGGGATCTGGTATATAAGGATTGCCGAACAGCAGCCGTCAGTCAGACTAGCAGCGAGTGTCAAAGAGTCATATATCGCGTGATATAAATCGTTTAACATATATAGTACTTGTAAGTTCGTTATAAATTGGTGTTCCTTCCGTTAAAATAAATCAGTTCGAAAATGAATAGTGTCGTGTTCGCTTCTGCACCCGAATAACGTAACAATATGGTAATTTTATAACATGCTAAAATGTACATTCATATAGGAATCAGATCTGGTCAATAAATAGAACCTACAATCTTGGGTTATACTTGAAAATGTGATTATATTCAAGAACACTAGGTACTATAATATTCTATATCAGACTGATGTGATATGTTGCTTCTATTGGAACCCCCTTCATCATTTCATCAGTTTGGTAGAGTTAACACTATTTGATTTCGGTCTGAACAAATTTTTCAAGTTTACTTTTGCACTATTAGTTACTCAATCTCAGAACCGTTTTACTAGTTGAAATTCTTCGACATCTTCAACAGACCCTGGATGGCTCTATTTATTCTTCGACCGAAATGGCATAACAAAACACAAAGCAACTCGTCGTTCACACATAAATATTAAGGAACAGCTAGATTATCACAATATAATGTCACTCAATACAATAATACAAATTCAAAAATTATCAGAACGCTATACATAAATATATCTGGAAATTATGAGATTATCAGTCCCAGTAGTTTCAGGCATGTATCCATGTATTGTTGTTGTTCTAAAATTGTTCTTATCCATCATTCGGTTGCCCCCCTATACGAGTACCCCTCAGAAGTCTTCAATAAGAGACTTGTGCGAGCAAGGAATGACGGGGGTCTTACCTTTCAACGTGTGATCCCAAACACTTTCTTAGGCCATCAGAAAAATTTCTGCGGTCGTGGTGGGAATCGAACCCACTACTGGTTATCCAACGTGGATAGAACATTGACGCTCTAACCACGAGGCTACGTTGGCCTCCCATATATCAACGTATCAACCAACGTAAACAACAATGGCGGACAGCATTGACACGGCTGACCAATGTGATGCTGTGAGCCTGTGGTCACCGAAAAATCCGAACGATGTCGATGATACCCGATACGGTTGTGTTTAGAAACATTATCAGAGGGGACATGAAATGGACACCATATATGGATTACTTCTTCTGGACATCATTATTGTCGAGAACAGCGAGAGCAATGGTTCCGTCGATCTTCTAATAGATGGCGACATTGCACAATTATGACATCTGTCAGTTTTGAAATTGTCGCAGATATTTCGAATTCAGAGTTGAATAATCCCACTGTTACATATGTTCCGCGTACCTGAAATGTCATCTGCCATATTATTTCGACTCGTCACAGCAGCAATAACAGAATCACCATTTAGCGGGAAAATGTCTCGCTCGTTGTGACGTAGATGGTAGGCGGTCGAGTGATTTTTCTGACATTTTAAATACGTTATAATGGCCGAATCGGCGCACCATATCTTACTTCCATCATAACTATAAGTATCATACTATTTTGTAGTGGTAGGTATTATTTGATGAATGAAGTAACTGGCGCCTATTTTACTAAACGTTTGGTATTTACTTTCTCTCAGTGTATTTCAGTTATCATGCATATTCAAATTGAATTCACTCATTTGGTGTTGTCTTTTCCAGGACCTCTCCACAGATTCAGGATGTCTTCTCGGTTCTTCCGAGCGCACGGCGAGTTCTGTGCTTCGCACCCGTGGGAGGTGATAGTGGCCACGTTGACCTTGACGGCGTGCATGCTGACAGTCGATCAGCAGCACCCCGCGCCTCCGCCGAAACCCACGCTCAGGTTCTGCGCGGGCTGCTTGAATGAGGTGAGTGATCGGCAACCGGGCGCATTTATCTGTGAGAAAAAGTTAGACTGTTGGTTAGGTTAGGTTACAAAGATTGCGTCTATTCAGCCCTCCGCTGCGACCGGAGCGATTGTGGCTCACACCAATTCATACTTCACCAAGTAGGTACAGCTTCTTAATGAAGCCGATTAGTTTACTTGGTGAGTGATATTTCAGGACCGACGGCAAGAGCAAAGATTACTGAATTCTTCTGTAGTCTATGGCAAGAGTGAAACCCTGTCAAACAGCGAAAACCTAAATAACTTAAATATAAGTAGTTTACTTAGGCCATCTTAGGCTAATGCTATCTATACAACCCAATCTATTTACTCAAATATATGCGGAACCGCGATCGCATTTTCCAGGTTGAATTGTAACAAACTTAATATATTTCTTTTTGGATCCGTCCTCTAAATGAGTGTTTTCCTGTTTGAACAATAAACGATTTATTTATATATTTTTATTATTATTTCGACTTTTCTTCAGTAGTTCGATGTCTCAACATACCTCAGCAGATAGAATGGAAGTTTGTGCCATGTCATCGGCTTGCTAATACCGACCCATTGAAGTATTAGAAAGTTTTCCTAGGAACAGGGGTCAATAGCATAGACAAGTCCTATTATTCTGACCAACAATCAGAATACGAGCTGTACAGGGTATCCCAATTTGGGCACTTTTGCGGGGTATCTCCCTTATCAGTAAAGATAGAGCATTGCGGTTTTCGCGACAGTGTGCTACTTTTTTATGAAATTAATAATGGTGCAAGCAGAATTGTGATAGCTCTTCCGGTTGTCGAGATACAGGGTGGAATTGAAAAATATCACTTTTCAGGCACCCTCCGTGTCTCAGTTATCTTTGAACTTGTCGAAGAAGTTGAAACATGTTTTTATAGAGTTTTTCTCGTAGAATCCAGTGGCGTAGTTATTTTTTTGCTAGCACCTTTTGTTTTTTAGTTATGGAGCAACATATGTTTTTTTAAATGGAAAATAATTGTATACAATTATATATTTCAGGAAAGCCCACTTCATGCTCAATGTATATATGAAATAATATACAGGGTGTTCCAACACATCTAAACTTGCACCTAGCGTTTTCAGTACCTACCTACTATTTTTTTACTGACTCTCGGTGCTCTCGTCGTCGATATTTGATATCTGTTCTATACATGCACATCCCGAAATATCTAGAAACAATATCTGCCATGGGTGTATGGAAAGTCTGGACAGAGTGTCCATAGGATATTTATTTAAAAATTATATTATTAAAAATCGTGAAACACAAGTATAAGAGTCATCGTGTATGATACACGTGTTACGTAATATTTCTTATGAGAGGCGTGAATATATAGATGAGGTTACATTTCATTCAAAAATGAAGCGGAACTTTGAAAAGTATTCGAAGTTCGAGCGGTTATAAACATCTACTTGACTTGACAGATACTTCGAAACAGATTGCAGTATTTATTATTTCAAAGAACGTGTTCCCAATATAGGGAGATTAAGCATCATGGTAAACGACCCAGTAACCAATGACTAATTGTTACCTTCGCTCGTTTAGTTCCCATTCTGGAAGATTTATTGAGTGCAATTTTTTTTCTCTCTAAATGGTCTATTTTCTATTGCGCAAATAGTTTTGTTCGCCTACAGGCTTTCTATGATTGAATTGCATGTATATTTACAATGGGCTTGTATCACAAAAAATTTTTATTTAATAATTCGATAGAACTCACCCAAACTAGCTCACCACCGCAAACCTTTTCTTGCTGTGAGCTCCCTACTTTTTATAAAAAATTATTGAAATCCCCGATTTTTCGGACCTCTGAAAACGAGGCGATGATGTGACGTCAAAACCATAATACTGAAACAAGACTATTCCAGACAGAGATTAATGATACATGATTTCTAACAGAGTGAATTAGTTCGAGATCACAGTTGAAAGAATTAATATATCTTTTGGTATTTTCTTTTAACTATGGCGAGATGAGGTTTCTACGTCATAAGAGGGTCCGTTTTCAGAATGTTCTATTATTAATGTCCAAAAATAAAACATTCCAGTTAATTTTCCGATCGAATGGGGAAGACCACTCATTTTTTGAAACGACATTATCGTGAACTCTATACTGAAAAACAGCAGTGAATTCATTTTGAATTTTTTTATTCATGCTAAGACGGTGAAAAAAATGAATATGTCCATTTCAAAATACACAATTCCTGTGCCATTTGAAATTTCGTCAATTCATTGGTGAGACTGGTGCGACGTCTTAGTCCCAACACGCCTATTGTCCTTGAACTCACCAATCACACTGCAACACTGCAGAATGACGAGGTATCAGAGAGAGATAGCTACAGTGCGGGACTAATACGTCACAACTCCACCATAATATTTGGCTTTTCGAAATAACGAATGAAATATGCTGATTTCAAAACGATATAGATTCGATTCCCTTCAACTTCAACTCATAATATTGATTGTAGATCAAACGTAAATCATGATTCGTCGATTGAAAGAGGTTTGCACGGATTTCTTCCCTCAGTGGTCTTCCCCATTTCGTCAATCATTATTTATGTATAAAAGGATCATTATGAACATGGTTTGAGTTAAAAGTTCTACTTAGGTGTACACGCCCATTCAGTTTCATTTCATTATCATTTACTATATTCAACAACTTTCGCTCGAACCCTTTGTGTTTCAATTCGCTAGTTTGTAACGGTTGTTCGTATAATTATTATCATGTCTTCGATTATTCTTATGTAAACAACATCGCTATCTTCATTCAATCATCAGAATTGCAATGCAAGTGCACGTTTTCTTCATCCTAGCGAAACCTATTAGTCATCTCATCCGATCATTGAAAAATCAAGTTCCCTATCTAAGCGATTGGATCTTTTCTCGTCTCAGCATCCACAGCATCAAGTTTATTGACATTGACAGTGAAAGTGAAAGGGGAAAAAAGCAAAGTTGCGCCGTCGTCTCTTGTTTCATTATTATTTATTATACGTCTGACTGCATAATGTGTAGTCACTAGACAAACAAAAATGTCACTAGACAAACAAAAAAGTCACTAGACAAACAAAAATGTCTTCTTCTTCAGGCCATTTGGGTCAAATTATAGAATAGGTGATGTATTGACATTCAACTATTACCAGTGGCGGATCCAGGGCAAGCAAAAAAAGCATGCGAAAGCAAGGTTCCAAAAGTTAATATAGTTAATATTACAGGACAATGTCAATGCTTTAAATTTATTTGCACACCGCACACCTAATAAAAACTTTAAAATACTACATATTAGCTTTGCCAGTGCCAGTGCCAGTATATGTACTCATAATAATTATGTTTTTATATGGCTGAATGTTATTTCACTATTTCAAGGCTGGTAAAAACATATGATCCGAAGACATCAGTCATGAGTCAAGGCTCTTATAGAGGTAGTTATAGGACACAAAATGTTTAAAGACGTATGTATGTACCTACATAAAATCTGATGATAATTCGAATAAATTTTCAATATTTCATGATTTATTTCAATTATTTCATTACTTACCGTTCAGAATATGAAATGGAAAACCCTGTATATTTCTTCATTTTTCGATTTTGGATAGGATTTTGCATGCAAATGTAGTCGCGAATTTCTGAAAACATCATTAGCTTATCTTGAGAATATCCATTTGATGACTCCAACTGGTCTCAATATAGACTCAAATAGTGAAGAGAACACTATATACCTACTATATATAGTACAAGTTTACTAGAAGAAGCAGAACTCAAGTACAATAGATTTATGTAAATACTGAAATGATTTTGAAAAGTCGAGTGAGCTCATTATTCTATAAAAACTGTGTAATCATTGTCAGAATGGTCCTCAGAATACAAAAATGTTGAGAAATACAGGGTTTCTAATTCGAACTTTCAAATTTCTGGGTTATTTTTGTGAAATCGGAAGTGAAATTGAAAATTTTGTCCAATTCTCAGATGAAAAAATCCTACGAAATTTGAATATCTGGAAACTCTGGAAACTATGTATTGTCTGAATCTAAAGACTACGTTCAAATTCATTAAGTTCGGAAAATATTGAATATATGAATTGATTTTACAAAACGCAAAAAATTCTTGAATAAAAAAAAAGAAAATCTCGTTCTGGAGGATCCCTGATTTTTGAGAACTGTTTTGTTGCTCAATCTGATGAATATCATCAGTTGAATAATTTTACATCAGAAGGAGAACATTTTTTTTATATATATTATCTTCATATATTCACATGAATATGTGCTTCATCTTCCTGAAAGCCCATTCATTACCCTTCGAAGATCATGTGCACTCCCCTTAAAGAAACTCCTGGAGGTGCAGTGGCGGAACCTCATCAATGACAGTTACACTATAGAGTATGTACGGCTGTCGGCCATATCTCAGCAACTAATAATGATGCAAGTTTGAGATAATACTAATGGTATGCACATTATTACACGATGTAATAGAGAAACTAAATCTCAACAGACCAACGAAAACCGCAACATGATAGCTTTTCACCAACGGAAGATATTGACTATCAAAGTTGGAAGGATGATATATATGACAGCCGTTCTTAGTTGTTCAACCTGTACTAGTATAGATGGTTTAGCTACGAACATACATAAGCAGGATATTTAGAAACCCCTATATAGATAATGGGCCATCCCTATAACTTCTGCATTCGTTAACGGACTTATCTTAAATTCAGTACAGTTGAACAATCAATTCGATTTGATCACATCACAATACAATATGGCAACTTTCGATTTTCATTCTGTGTTCTCAAATGGAACACCCAGTATATTTTACACATTCAAGTTCTATACAGGTCAGAACACGTTCAAATGCTGATTTTTCGAAAATATTGGCATCGACGTTTCTTTCTTGCACCCTGATGATGAAAAAGATTTGACCGAGGCTACTCACATAATAGGAACACATATTTTTTTCAGGAAAATATTTTTTTTCGTCACTTA